AGACTACGGTAGACTACGGTAGACTACGGTAGACCACATGGTAGACTACGGTAGACTACGGTAGACTACGGTAGACTACGGTAGACTGGCTACGGTAGACTATTGCAGACATGATAGACTGGCTTACGGTAGACTACGGTAGACTGCTGGCGGTGTGACTGGAGGGTAAGCGCCGCTTTCGACTTGCCTTAAAGAACTGCCCTTCCTAATCAACAACTGCTGAATTGAGAGAAAAAACTCAAAGATATTCAGTTCCGTTTCCTAGCTTCTGCCAAGTGGGCTACTCGGAAAAAATGAGAATACTTCAAGAAAAACTTGCCAATGAACCAAAACCCTTCCCGACTCATCAAAAACGAATGACTACTATGATCAGGTCGACTTTTACAAATCAAATCACCCAAACCAATTCAATTACTAAATCCTTATCTTCAGGTGATGACTCTACCCCATCCAAACGCCGTCCACAAAGAGGCGCTCCGACTCTACCCGCCGATCACATTGTGAGTCGAAAATCGGAATACTGTAGATAGTCGCGAGATTTTTATCAAAGAATCAACAATCCTGGATGTCACACTGTAGCTTTGGTCTTCTAAATCACCCTAAATAGCCTATTAAGTGTCTCCGAATGTTCATTTTTCTTCTTGGCAACATTCTTGAATACCGTAAACCCTGAAGATTTGTAATCAAAAATTTCAGCATTCTGGATGTCAATACTGTAGCCAATTTACTTTATATAACCTCCAATTTCAGCCTCTGTCAATCGAACCTGTGTTGCTGAGTGCGATGGGCGGTGTGCGGTACGAGAAGGGCACCCAGGTCAGCTTAGATTCTCCAAATTTTCAAACTCCAAATTGAACACAGCACGAGCTAGGAAAGCAAAACCCATCTAAAATATCGCAGACAGTCAGACCGTACTATAAAGCCTCGTTTCAGGTGGGCATCCTGATTTGGAATGTGCACCGAAATGCTGAATTCTGGCCTGAGCCCGACGAGTTTCGTCCGGAAAGGTTGGCTCGCCTGTACAGCTCTTTCTTTCCAAATCTTGTCACAACTGAAATTTGCATTTAACTTTGTGTCGATTTATGATTCGATTTCTAGCTAGACTAATCCCATGCTTTCCAGGATTTACATTTAAGCTTTCTGCCTTCATCAGAGCTGAATGAAGCCAAGGATTTGGGTCAGCTTCTATAATCTGGCTCTGGTCCTTCCTTCCTTCCTTCTGTCCTTCCTTCTGTCCTTCCTTCCTTCCTTCTGTCCTTCCTTCTGTCCTTCCTTCCTTCCTTCCTTCTGTCCTTCCTTCTGTCCTTCCTTCCTTCCTTCTGTCCTTCCTTCTGTCCTTCCTTCCTTCCTTCTTTCCTTCCTTCTTTCCTTCCTTCTGTCCTTCCTTCTGTCCTTCCTTCCTTCCTTCCTTCTGTCCTTCCTTCCTTCCTTCTTTCCTTCCTCCATTCCTTCCTTCTTCTTTCCTTCCTTCTTTCCTTCCTCCATTCCTTCCTTCTTCTTTCCTTCCTTCTTTCCTTCCTCCATTCCTTCCTTCTTCTTTCCTTCCTTCCTTCCTTCCTCCATTCCTTCCTTCTTCTTCCTTCCTTCTTTCCCTTCCCTCCATTCCTTCCTTCTTCTTCCTTCCTTCCTTCCTTCCCTCCTCCATTCCTTCCTTCTTCTTTCCTTCCTTCCTTCCTTCCTCCATTCCTTCCTTCTTCTTTCCTTCCTTCCTTCCTTCCTCCATTCCTTCCTTCTTCTTTCCTTCCTTCTTTCCTTCCTCCATTCCTTCCTTCTTCTTTCCTTCCTTCTTCCTTCCTCCATTCCTTCCTTCTCTCCTCCTTCCTTCCCTCCTCCATTCCTCCTTCCTTCCTTCCTTCTTTCCTTCCTCCATTCCTTCCTTCTTCTTTCCTTCCTTCTTTCCTTCCCTCCTTCCGTTCAATCCTAAATTATGATTAAAGAGATGAAATTGAATTTTCCAGATTCCTGTCGGGGAAACCGCAAACGCCGTTTACGTGGCTACCGTTTGGGGCAGGTCCTCGAGGCTGTGTGGGGCAACGATTCGCCGAAATGGAATTCAAGGTTTGCATTCTATTTTATTTTCTACACTGCCATCCAGGATGAGCATAGAAAGAGTTGTAACTTCTAAATGATGATTCTAAATGGAAATTCGCTTAGGATCTAGTTTCTGCTTGGAGACTTTTCTGCTGTACCGTAAGGAGAGGAGGCTAGAGAGTCGATAGTCAATCGAGAGTGTAGCTTTCATTTTTCAGATCGTTTTGGCGAGAACGTTGAGCAGATTTCAGATTGTGTTGAGTCCAGAAATTCAGGTGAATCACTAAAAAAAGCTCACTAAAAAGCTTTAGAACTCTAGGAAATTCAGAAAAGAAAATCGAATCGATTCTATTGTTCTTAAAGTTTCTATTTCATAGACTAATGATTCGGACCGTATTGGAACCGTATTAGATCAAAATAGGAAGCGTATTGGAACCGTATACCGTATTAGAACCGTATTAGAACCGTATTGGAACCGTATTAGATCAAAATGGGAACCGTATTAGAACCGTATTAGAACCGTATACCATATTAGAACCATATTGGAACCATCTTGGAACCATATTGGACCCAAATTCCTGGAAGCAACAATATTGGAACCATCTTGGAACCATATTGGACCCAAATTCCTGGAAGCAACAATATTGGAACCATCTTGGAACCATATTGGGCCCAAATTCCTGGAAGGAACAATATTGGAACCATTTTGGAACCATATTGGACCCAAATTCCTGGAAGGAACAATATTGGAACCATCTTGGAACCATATTGGACCCAAATTCCTGGAAGCAACAATATTGGAACCATTTTGGAACCATATTGGACCCAAATTCCTGGAAGGAACCATATTGGAACCATCTTGGAACCATATTGGGCCCAAATTCCTGGAAGGAACAATATTGGAACCATCTTGGAACCATATTGGAACCATATTGGCTTTTCTGTGAATGAATTCCTGCAACTTTTAGGCTTTTTTCATTTCATTTCATTTCATTTCAAGGATCATTGTTTCCCGTAAACAAATGAGAAATAAATAAATGGAAATTCTAGGATCGTCTTGAGTTGAGCAATCCAACCGCGATGCTTTCCACTCCAAAAATTTCGATTTTAATCAAATCAAGAGATTCGTAATTTTTACATTATTTTTCATATCAATGACTTCCATAATTGATTTCCAAATCATTAAATTGTTAATCTTTTCTCAAAAACTCGAATTTTCTTTGTCAATCTCGGTCTAGAGCTGTCTTTACAATCCTTTACGATGTTCTCTTCCAAAAAAATGATCTCAATTTGTATTTCTTTTTATTTTTTTTGATCTGTTTCTTTTCTTTTGCCTTTTTTTCTTTTATTTAAATAAAGATATGCAAAAAAAAACCCATATAAAGAATTAATTTTTCAAAAAAACAAACTTTTCCTTTGAAATTCAATTCTAAAAAGCTACAATGACCTCAGAATGACGAAAAAAAGCTTAGAATGACAGAATTATTCTCAAATTTCACCGGAAATCACTCAAAATCTTGACCGCTTCGGGTCGACAACGCTCCGCAACTCCCCAACGCCAACCCCAAACCGCTAAGCTCTTTGTTTCTCATCTCTAAGTCTAAAATGCGTTCCATAGTGCCCGAAAAACGTTTGTTACACTTTTCAGGAAATCTCTGATCTGCTGAAAATCTCTGAAAGTCGATCTCGACTCGACTCGACCAGCTGACTCTTTCTTTTGCCAATCCCATTGATTTAAATGCTTTCTAAATATTAATTCCAACTTTTACAGAGCTTTTACAGAGAACAGAACAGCTTTCCCTTTCATCCTGGAACACAGCTTTGAGTTTTTTTTTTTTTGACGATTCTTGAGGATTGATCGTTTCGACTGAAATAATCATTTTCAGATTGCGCAAACATTTTCCCAGGGTTTCCTGAAAGACATCACATCTTTTCCCAGCTTTCCCCACCTTTCCCCAGCTTCTCTCTTCCCCCCAACTCTTCCAGTCGTGTCTCAAGCTTGGACCCCCACTTGACAAGACTGTCCCCATTTATTTCTTGAGAGCCACCCCCAGCCCGGCAAACAATCACTCATTTGAGGCCAGCTGGATCGCACGCTAGCTAAAAATGCTTAAAATTTGACGCTAATTTTGTTTTATCACTTTTATGCTTTTTTTTTATGACTGCATAATCAGCATAAATATTCAGATCAAATTTTTTTATTGAAATTTCATTTCATTCTCAAATTTGTTCAAACTCGAGTTCAGCTAGGGTTATGGATTCTTTTCTGATCACTTTTCATCGCTTTTAATCGAATTTTATCGTACCAAAGTTCTGTTATAGTTCTGTTTATGTTTTGCTTTTTTTATGCTTTCTTTTTTGTTTATTGCTTTCTATTTGCTTTCTATTTGCTTTTTATTTGCTTTCTATTTTGCTTTAAATTTAATGTTTTCTAAAAATTCGGCTTATCTGGAGTGCATTAAAGTGTAGAAAGTTGTAAGGGAATTGTTGTGGTGAGTTTTTAGCATTTTGATCAACAGCCACCAAGCCCGCATTTTAATCAACAGCCACCAAGCCAGCATTCTGATCAACAGCCATCAAGCCCCTAAATCGGCTAATCTTTCCTCAAATTCATTTCCACTTTCGAATTCCTTTAATCTGGAGGGCACGCGAGGTAGAGGTTGAGATTTTTAGATGATTTTTAGACGATTCTTTTATTGATTGTCAATAGTATCCCTCGTACTCTTCACACACAATTTTGTCTTTTTTTTCTGAAATAGAATTTCTCAAAAGTTTGAGTGATATTTCTGTTTACTTTTCTCAACAAATCCCCCTTCATTTTGCTTCATTTTTCAATAGAGAAAAACGCTCAAATTTCACATTCAAACCGTTTTTTTCCTTTTTACACTTTTTTTTTGACAAAAAACTTGATTTATAAAGATTTTTCTAAGAAAGCAATTCAATTACCAAATCCTTATCAATCCTTATCTTCAGGTGATGACCCTACCCTATCTAAACGATCTTAGGTACTTGTAAATCCACAGAGATTCAAATCGGGTTAAGGAAGAAGATAAGAAAGAAGATAAGAAAGAAGATAAGGAAGAAGATAAGGAAGAAGATAAGGAAGAAGCTAGGGAAGAAGCTAAACAAGAAGCTGACAACTTCTGAGCGATGATTATGCTCAGTGAAGCTGAGCTGAATAGAGAGCTCGTCTGAAGTGATCATTCGACCAGTGGAACGAAAATCGATAACCGAGAAGTCTCGGTTGTACATAATCGGTCCTTTTCGGTGATACCCTTCACAAAGACTCAACTCGGTGAGGCAAGGACATCAATATGAAATGTGATCCCCATACCTCCCAGAGATGAGTCTTTGTGGAGGATCTAACCGAAAAGTACCAATTATTGGTTTTGTTTTTCGTCAAAGACGAGAATCTCGTGGAATCTCGTGAAATTTGAGGCATTTAGCTTTAAAAAAAAGGCTTAAATTTGCAATAACTCTATTCCCTCTAATAGAATTGCCTCCTTGTTCAGTCAGCTGAACAAGGAGGCAGTTGTCAGCTCCTTGCTTCACCGAAATGATTCTTTGCGAAGGGTATCAACGAAAACAACGATCGAAAAATTATGCACAAATAATATCATTCATTTTCAATTAAAATTCGTTGATCAATTTTCAGGGAATAGAATTGGCAATTCAAGAATTGTCTCCTTATCAATTTATGATCAGATTTCCAGCTAGACTAATCCCGTGCTTTCCAGGATTGACATTTAAGCTTTCTTGGGTTCATGAGAATTGAATGAAGCCAAGGATTTGGGTCAGCTTCTATAATCTGGCTTTGGTCCTTCCTCCCTTCTTTCTTCCTTCCTTCCTTTGGGCCAAGGATTTGGGTCAGCTTCTATAAACTGGCTCTGGTCCTTCCTCCCTTCTTTCTTCCTTCCTTCCTTTGGGTCAGCTTCTATAAACTGGCTCTGGTCCTTCGTTGATCAATTTTCAGGGAATTTTTGAGATTTACCTTCGTGTTGATAACAAATATTTTTAGCGTTAACCAAAGCTTAGCAAAGCCAAAGCAAAGCCAAAGCAAAGCCAAAGCAAAGCCAAAGCAAAGCCAAAGCAAAGCCAAAGCAAAGCAAAAATTATTTGAAAATTAACTCTCTTTTTTATTTATCATTTTTCAATTAGCGATTGATCGAATCGTTGAGAAGATGCGGAATAAAATTGTAATTTTTTTGAAGATGTCCCGTCCCTCTTCATCAATCCCATCAGTTAGCGGTGATCGTCGCGCCTCTTCGTCATCCATTGATCATCGTGAGCAAATGATTTTAAAAGGTGACACTTCACTAATTCGTTAGACTCTAGAATTTCACTAAAGAACCCAAATTTGATCTACCGTTTTTTCTCTATTAGTAGCCTCTAATAGTAGGCGCCTAAATTCCTCGAAAACTCGAGAACCGCTTATCAAAACCTATCGATGTGAGGGTGGAAAATGGAGCTGACGATCAGATCTAGTGGAGGGTTTGAGTGTTGAGCATCTGTGAGAGCTTTGAAAGCCGTAAAATCGTCATCAACTCGGCTCGTTTGGGTGCACTACGATTAGAGAAAACACGGTGTTATTGTTGATCATCAGAAATTTGCCAATCGGATTTGACAATCGAATAAGCCTAAGCCTAAGCCTAAGATCAGTTAGCCAGGTCAGAAGCCAAGCTCAAGACTGTCTGATTGTCTTGAGCCAGACTCAAAACTGTCTGAGCTTCGGGGGATTTGAGTGTTGATTTTCTGTGAAAACAGAAACGAGAAAATCGTCCTCAACTCGGGTGCAACGGCTGCAATTTCTGGGTGCACTAATATTAGAGAAAATCTTTGCTCACTATGGAATTCGAGCGTTTCAACTTGAACAGTTTCAACTAATGCAACTAATGCACTTGAATAACGCCTCGAAAAATGTCTCGAGCTTAGCTAGCTATTGAATTCAGAGAAAGCTCGGTCATTGCAGGAGAACAAGGTGACGCTCTCCTCATCGTTTGGAGCGATGCTTGAAAATGTGAGTTTTCTTAAGAGTTCGAGCGAAAATTCTTGTTAAATGAAATCCAGAATAAACAATTTTACTTCCAAAATTTCATCATTTTATAAAATTTGCAAAAATTTTTAACAAAACATTCCGCATTATCGAATATTTATGAATTTTTTTTTTTCTAAAAATGTTTCTGATGTTTTATTAGAAAAAAAACATGTTACCTGACATCCAGGATTGACGAATTTTCACTTTTAATTTCAATCTCTTCATTCAGATTCGTCACCGCGCTTCAGAGTTGTCGTTGTGGAATGACGAGATGCAAAAGGATTTGCCGAAACGATGGGAGAAACATGGGAACATGATCGTTTTCCCGCAGGACTCTTTTCAGCATAATAATTGGAGATTAATTGGTAAAGTGAAAGGCGAGAAACCTTTTTTCTTCTGACGCATTTGTGCCTCAGAAAGGTTGCGTTTCGGCACTCACTTTAGCGTTGACTAAAGGATTTTAGGCAGAGAACTTTGGGAAATCGTGGCCACCTCGCTGAGCATCGAGCGACTCGGTCGGAAGCGGTTGATCGCCAACGATTTGGACAGAACCCCGCATGTCGACATTCTTTATGGAGGACACGGTTGGGTGGAGCATCAAGACGAGAATGGCTTTAGGTGTGTGATCTAAAGAAGCTAAAGACTCACATTTCGATTTTAAAGTCTAAATGTCAATGCTGGAAAGCACGGGATTAGTCTAGCTGGGAATTTGATCATAAATCGACACCAAGGCAATTCTTGAAAATTCTCTAAAAATTGATCAACGAATTTTAAGCTTTAAAAAATTATTGTTTAGCTTAAACGATCGATTTTTTTCAGCTTTCTGGATGTCACAAAGTTAAATGCAAATTCCGATTTAATGCAAATTTCAGTTACATCTACGATGCATCGAAAAAAGTTTTCGAGATTTGGCGAGGCAAAGAGATCGCACGAATCGCTCAAATCGATGCTCATGGAGAAGTGAGAGCTATTTTCTTTAGCACAATAAAATTATGGAATATAGAAATGCTAATTGTTGATGTTATTTAGGTGATTGTTAATCTGATGAGTGGCCTTGGATACTACGCTTTCCCATGGGTGGCAAGAGGTGAGAAAGTTGAGAAAGAGAAAGAGAAAGAGAAAGAGAAAGAGAAAGAGAAAGAGAAAGAGAAAGAAAGTTGAGGAAGTTGAGAAAGAAACGTCTTGAAATTTTGAAATTGACGCCAATTCTTGTAGACAGCTCGACCAAGTATTCCCTCTAAACTCTCTATTGGATTGAGATCAAGAAATCGAGCGGGAAAGTCCAAAGTTGCAGTTTGTTGTTGTTCAGCCAGTCTCTGGTGGATCGATGAATTGACACGTTGAAACACATAGAGAACTCATTTTAAACGTCGGCGGCAAGAAAAACGGCGGCAAGCAATCATCCAAGACATCGATATAGTCAAAAACAATTCACCCAATTCAAAACCATCTTCAGAGCGACCATTCGATCAGCACAAAAGCACCGTCAAAGTTTCGAGTCCCAAACACCATTGGATCGCCTCCAATGGTAATCAATGGATCCCCTCCAATGGTGTTTGGCGCATCCCTATAGGCATTTGCGAGGTCGGGCGGTGGTCGGCCTGCAAGCTCTCACGGGCGTCGCTGTAGTCGAAGCTTAAGTAATAAGCAGGTCCGCCATAAGTGGGCGTAGTGAATGGATCCCCTCCAATCGTAGTCAACGCCATCCTCATCAGAATCTAAACAAGAAAAATGAATAGAATATAAGTTGCTTTCTAACCTTAGACCAATCCTAATTCATCTGATTCATTCAATTCATTGACTCCAATCGGAATCTCTTGTGCAAGAGCGTTACAACCGGTTGCTTTTCAATTGTCGATCGATATATGGGTTTTTCTTGGCGGTTCACCAAATTTTTGCCTCTGAAAACTTTTGCCTTTGCCTTTGAAGCCTCCTCCTCAGCGACTTTAAACCGTTCAGCTCCGTTTTCACTTTATCGATCGTTTTTCCGTGAATGTTGTTCACAATATGGCTTCTAGCTCGTGGTGTAAGCTTTGGTTTTTGGTCTTGGTTTTGGTTTTGGTTTTGGTCTTGCTTTTGGTCTTGTTTTTGGTCTTGGTCTTGGCTTGATCTTGGCTTTGATCTTGGTCTTGGTCTTGCTTTTGGTCTTGACTTCTTCTTTGATCAAGAAACGGTCTTCGACTTGATATATTGGGTTGGGGAGAATGAGTCGGCGCCGAAAATGAAAAAAAATGTCTAAAACTTCTATTCGACTTCGTGAAATAATATGCGTTTGAAATGAGTAGAATGGTTAACTAATTCTCTAAAGAATGACATTTAAAAGAAACTAATTCTCTACAAAATGACATTTAAAAGAAAATTCAAACAGCGCCTCCGCTCAAGAAAAAGCCATTTTTTCACAAAAACTACAAACTGTGATCTAGAAAAAACCATTGGTGGGATCTTCCTGCAAATTTGGCAACTTAAGTAATTGAATGTGCTCTATCTTTTTTATATAAACACCAAAGAAGGTTTATGTGAAAGAAACTGTTCAAATGATGAGTCGGACTCTTTGCCATTTTAACCAGCTGCGTTTCGAAGTTCATAAACTCCACGAAAGAAAAGCTTTGTGGAATCTCTCAAAAGTGATTTTGTAGAGAAATAGTGGATCCTTTTGATGAAACCAAACGTATGTTTAAAGAAGGCTTTATGTGTGCAAAAAGTCCCCTTTAAAGTTTGGCGCCGACTCATTCTCCCCAACCCAATAATTTCAATCGCAGTTTCAATCGCAGTCGGATTGGCTCAAATCTTTTGCCATTTTTTTTTTTTATTAATTTTGTTTCTCTACCAATAAAACACGCATTAATCTGGCTTTTCTCGTAATCCGCGAGCAACTTTCCGTACGCAATTTACCGAGAAATTAAAACCGAGAAATTAAAACCAAAAAATAAATCGAATAATAAAATAAGCACAACAAAAGAAAAAGTTTTAAAATGACAAAAACAGAAAAAAAAAGAATTGAAAGATTTCCAGCCGCCGCTCGACACGTGCATGCAGTCGATTGGGACGAAGAGGCCATTGAGTCACTTGTGAGTCCTTGAGAAAACTTTCAAACATGCTAGCTAGTGCTAGCTAGTGCTAGCTAGTGCTAGCTACTTTAAACAAAGATCTAAGCAATGATTGTTAGGTGCGTACGACGACCGCCAACCGTTTAGATGACAAAGTCACCGTACATTCGGGTGAGGCACGAAAGGTGAGTGAATCAAATTGAATTGTTGAATGAAAGATTAGAGATGATCAGGAATCAGGCATCAGATCAGCAACAGAGCCAATTGAACTTTTCAGTGCGCTCCAGCTGGCATTGCTGATCGTGTTTACATGGCTTTGTTGCCCTCGTCGAAGGCTTTCTGGATGACCGCTTGTAAATGTCTGAAGGAGAAAGTGAGTCAACCTAGTGAGGTACCTACCTCCATACCGGTTGCTTGAGATTTCTGAACGATCGAAACGATCCAAACTCAGCCCTGGACTTATCAGTCCCGATTCCAGCCACAAATGAAATGCCTGGAGGTATTCCCATACCTCCGAAGACTCATGGAGATACCTGTGGAAAAAAAAAACAGTGTTTAAAGGTATCCCCATGACCATTTGGAGTCATGGGGATGCCTCCCTCATCTCCATAGAGCTAGAGCGGTGGCTGGAATCGAGACTGATAAGTCCAGGGCTGAGTTTGGATCGTTTGAATCGTTTGAATCGTTTGAATCGTTTGAATAGTTCAGAAATCTCCAGCAACCGATCGGCTTGAGCTCTTTAGTCTTAGCTAGACAGGGCTTAGGGCTAGGCTTTGGTTAGAGCTTTGGCTAGAGTTCGAGCTGTCATTGATGTCATAGAGCTGTCATTGAGCTGTCATTGCTGTCATTGATGTCATTGAGCTGGAAAAATTCAGGGCGGCTGGTTGCATATCCAAGAGGCGATCGACCCCAAACGGAAACGCGTCTCCGAGCCACAAAAGGAGTAAGTTGTCTGTAAAATAACCAAGATTACGGTACAGTATCCAGGCTTTTTATTCAAAGACCCGATTCCAGCAAATCAAAATCACCAAGCGCGCAAAAGTCCACCGAAAACGGCGCCTCCGCCAAAGAGAAAACCGATGTAAACGGGAACACGAAAATCGGTGAGTTTTGCAATTCTAGCAGCCTAGCTGGCCAATGTGCGCTCCAGATCGACGAGAAATCTCAAAAAAAAAACCTTTAGGTGAGAAGAAACTTCAGCGAAAACTCAGCCGATCGGCATCGATAGTGGAAGAGATGGAAAATCGAGCGCTCCCGCCAGCAACGGTCGGTGAAATCACATAAATCCGTCAATCTGGAGTGCATGAGATGATTTGCGATCGCTTTCGCGTTAACTGATCGAACAATTAAGATTTTCGAGTTAGCTGGTCAATTTTCGACGGAATTCTGTTGAAAAATTGATTTAAAATTTGCATACCGTATTTGTTCGAATAGAAAAACCGGGTAAAGAGTATCATCGCGTACTCCTGCGTAGCAGCCCTTTTTCTGCATAAAAGCTTTCAAACAAGTGAGCTATAGAGCTGGAAAATGGCTCAAAAATGGCTCAAAAATCTGTTAGCTCTTGTGGTATTTTTGAGCCATTTTCCAGCCCTATAGCACTTCATTGAAAGAGATTTTAAAAAGGGCTGCTACGCAGGAGTACGCGATCATACTCTTTACCTGGTCTTCTATTCGAACAAATACGGTAATTTCCCAAGCTGGAGTGCAATTTGAAGCTTTGAATTGTAAGCTGAAGAAAAAGTTCAATTTAAAGTTCAATTTCAGCTCGACAAAGAGTTCGAGGAGGGAAAATGGCGAAAAATCGAGGAACACGTGCAAGGATTTGCTTGGGATTTAGCTGAACAGTTAAATGATTGAAAGAAATTGATAGATTGATATTGATAGATTGGCGTTCTCTGAACGATGTCTGTCTGTCTCTATTGTCTGAACGATTACAGTAATCCTATAGAAAAGCTGATTGAGCTGATTGAGCTGATTGAGCTGATTAAACCTGCCGTTTACGATTTCTAGTTTTTTTCTTTTCTAGATGTTGTCGCTACATGAACAACGTGAACGTCGTTGATGGCATTTATTGGGTACAAATCAAGAACATTTCCGTTTTAAGGCCACGCTCGAGCACACGACAGACGGTGAGATCATTGACCATTGATAGTAAGAGTTGAGTAAGAGTTCAACCGTTACCGTACCCGAATAGTCTCAAATTAAACAAAGCATCGATTTCCGATCATTTTCATTTCTCGTGCCTTCCAGGATATCGTTTGCGTCGATTTGTTCACTGGTTTCAGCGAGACGAAACAAGAAAAGCGGCGGCGAGCGACACGCGCTTCCCCCAGTGAAACCCTAAATGAGCACATCGGTGAGTCAAAGCTTGATAAAAGGCTGTTGTGTGCTCCAGCTCAAAGTATAAGAAAAGAAATTTTCAAAAATTTCAGACGAATCATTGGGAAATTTGAGTGAAGAGGATCACCGCGGACAGGGGAACGATGAGAGGGATCAAGAGAGTCAAGTGAGTTTCTAGAAATTGGCTTAAACCGCAAAGGCTTCAACACTGCACATTTATTCTCAAAATTCTCAATTAGACTCTACTTTTTGTTCCTTTCTGAAACAAATTGAAGAAGGAGATCGTTTTTTTTTCATTGTTGAAAATCGATTCTTTTTAGGAAACGGATTTGTTTATTAAAATCTTTACAGAAACCGCGTCGTCGTCGGAATTGGGAAGAAGAAATTCTGAAGCAAATTGAAGAAGAAGATCGTTTAGAAAGAGAGGAAAAAGAGAAACAAAAAGAAAAGGAAAAGAAAAAGTGATTTTTGTTTGAATAAATTATTTGCTCTAGGCATTGAGGTTTATGGGAGGTCAGCGCCAACAATTAAGCGACCATCATTTCAGTGGGCTCTTAAAGAGCTTAAAGTTCTCTTAAAGCTCTCTTAAAGCTTTCTTAAAGCTTTTCTAAAGATCTTAAAGATCTTAAAGATCTCTTAAAGAGCTTAAAGCTCTCTTAAAGCTCTCTTAAAGATCTCTTCAAGCTCTCTCAAAGCTCTCTTCAAGCCCTCTTCAAGCTCTCTTCAAGCTCTCTCAAAGCTCTCTTCAAGCTCTCTTCAAGCTCTCCTAAACCTCTCTTCAAGCCCTCTTCAAGCTCTCTCAAAGCTCTCCTAAACCTCTCTTCAAGCCCTCTTCAAGCTCTCTCAAAGCTCTCCTAAACCTCTCTTCAAGCCCTCTTCAAGCTCTCTCAAAGCTCTCCTAAACCTCTCTTCAAGCCCTCTTCAAGCTCTCTCAAAGCTCTCCTAAACCTCTCTTCAAGCCCTCTTCAAGCTCTCTCAAAGCTCTCCTAAACCTCTCTTCAAGCCCTCTTCAAGCTCTCTCAAAGCTCTCCTAAACCTCTCTTCAAGCCCCTCTTCAAGCTCTCTCAAAGCTTCCAAACCTCTCTTCAAGCCCCTCCTCAGCCTCTCAAAGCCTCTCAAACCTCTCTTCAAGCCCTCTTCAAGCTCTCTCAAAGCTCTCTAAACCTCCTCTTCAAGCCCTCTTCAGCTCTCTCAAGCTCTCCAAGCCTCTCTTCAAGCCCCTCTTCAAGCTCTCTCAAAGCTCTACCCTAAACCTCTTCAAGCCCTCTTCCAAGCTCTCTCAAAGCTCTCCTAAACCTCTCTTCAAGCCCTCTTCAAGCTCTCTCAAAGCTCTCCTAAACCTCTCTTCAAGCCCTCTTCAAGCTCTCTCAAAGCTCTCTTCAAGCCCTCTTCAAGCTCTCTCAAAGCTCTCTTCAAGCCCTCTTCAAGCTCTCTTCAAGCTCTCTCAAAGCTCTCTTCAACCTCTCCTAAACCTCTCTTAAACCTCTCTTAAAACTCTCTTAAAGATACTTTTCTGTAAATGTCTTTGACAAAGTCAATTATAGATAAGCTAATTGAAAAAAAGCCATATGCCGATCGATAAACCTTCACATTACCGAAGCCAAATTATAACAAAGAAACTTCTGACATAATGACGTACTTCTCCAACATTGAACTCATTGTTGACAACTGGCCTACATTTTGAGACCACCAAAACTTTAAAACAACGATATTCACCATGAAAATCGTTTAAAGAAACAAATCTCACTTCGATTCTAATATCCCGTCATTAAATGTTCAAAAAATATTCAAAAAATAATAAACTATCTCCACGCTGACATTTCACTTCCTTGAATGTTCTTGAATCAACTATCTACCTAAACAAATACCCATCATCCAAATGCCCATTGTTCTAGTGTCCTTGGATCTAGATGATGGAAGGGAAAGTGTCCCTGGCTTCCGTGTGATTTCCTCTGAGTAACCCCTACTAGGGTGAGCTAACAAAGGAACGAGGTTGGGGCTTGAAAAGGGTTTCAACATGTCCACGAAACTATCAATATCTCGATTTATGGGTTCATTTTAAAAGAATCCTCATCAATTTTGGCTTAAGAAAAGTCGACAAGTCACACAAGAAACATTTTCAAAGTGAGTCCACATTTCGATCAACGAAATTTAATTGGGTGAAAGTAGTAGGCTAGTTGCAGCTGGTGTAGCTGGTGGCTAGGGTTGTAACTAGTTGTAGTTGGTGTAACTATTGTAACTTGTTGTAGCTTGGTGTAGCTGGGTGTAGCTTTGCTGGTGTAGCTAAGTGTAGCTTGGCTGGTGTAGCTGGGTGTAGCTTGGTGTAGCTAGGTGTAGCTAGTTGTAGCTATTAGCTGGGTATAGCTGGGTGTAGCTAGATTCGGTTTCTAAAATCGGTTGCTAAGTTAAAAACAGTTCCCTAGTAAGATCTGGCTTTTTTTCTTACAATTCAAAGTGCTGGAATCGAAGAAAACTGAAAAAACGTTGTGTTTCGAGCTGGTTGATTTTTCGGCTTTAATGCCTCAAATTTTCAATCACTAACAAAAATTCGATCATTCTGGAGTGCAGTTTTAGAGAATGAACATCTTTAAACATTCGTTAGGCGAACCTTAAAAAAAAATCGAACCTACAGTGCTGGACAATGAAATAGTGATGTTTGAAAAAGATCGCCACTTTCGCACGTCTGTAACTGCCTTGTCTTTGCGTTTAAACTATTAGTGTTCAACATTTTCTGAAAGCTCTTTTCAAGGGCTACACAATGGTAATACTCAATATTTAGAAATACGGGGGGGGGGGAAGGAGAAGGGAGAAGGAGAAGTTTTTGAGTAGGTAGAAGGAGAAGAGATGAGAAGGAGAAGGAGAAGGAGAAGGAGAAGGAGAAGGAGAAGGAGAAGGAGAAGGAAGTGGGGAGGAGAAGGAGAAGGAGAAGGGAGGAAGAGAAGGAGAAGGAGAAGGAGAAGGGAGAAGGAGAAGGAGAAGGAGGAAGAAGAGGAAAGAAGGAGAAGGAAGCTAGAAGGGGAAGAGTAGAAGCGGAAAAGAAAGAAAAGAATGAAAGAATTGGGGTGACAAGATTTGTCTTTAGAGTTCCCCTTTTAAATGGGACCCTAGAGAGGGAAAAAAGAGTTCATCGACAGAAGAGATTGAGTTCGATTCTCAAAGAATTTTCTCATCTTCTTAGCCTTTAAATCGTTTAAATCTCATATCTGGATGTCACAGAAGATTCTTGACGTAAAATTTCTTCACTTTTGGCTTTTGGCTTAATTTTTTGACTTGACTTGACCTAAAATTGGTATTATTTCTGAAAATTTTTTTTAATTTTTAAAAATTTTCCTTTGCTTTCCTTTCTTTTTCTTTATTTTATTATATCAGATGGGTTATTTTAAGCTTTTGAAATAACGAAATTCATTTAATAATCGTCCATCTGGGGATCTTCATAAAGAAAATCAATGAAATTAAGGGCTAT